AGGATTGGAGGTAACATTTTAATAGAAATGTAATTTTGCAACTAAAATAATCTCTACTTCTCTTATTTTTCCTTTTCTTTCTTTTTTATTTCTTTTATTTTTTTTTTTCAAAAATAATCTCTATTTACCATCCCTTATTTTGTTCAATTCAAATGTTCCAATCGACGAATAGTATCCCTGTTCATCTATTGTTCCATTTAAAGTCGATATATGGACCTGGAAAACAGAACAGATAAACGTCGAAAAAATGCAACCACCTAAACGTTTAATATTACTTACTAATCAAAGTTATGAGTGACAACGTTAGGATCTATTGAGTAGCTAACAATCCAAACATATACAACTACATAAGATCCATCGCTGGGAAGTTGATGTACTCTAAAATTTTTACCAATTCGTAATTTAAATTAGTCTTTAAACATAGGAATGGTCATTTCTGTAACCTACATAACTCATGAATTTTATAAAGAGTTGCATAAAATGCACTTTACTTTTTTAGTACTCGGTAGTATGATAATACGTGACACCCACCGATTGCCGGATAGCATATGCAAAAATAAGATTACCCGTAAAGGTCATTTCAAAAATAAATCAATTTACTTCAGTAACTGTGACTTTCCCAAACTCGTAATCCCGATATTTTTCCAACAACTTCGTCACATCCATTCTTCCTCTTTCTTTTTTCTTCTCCCACTGCAAAACTGTATTTTGATTCTCAACAAAATAGTGTTAGATCATGTAAACAATCAAAATTTTCTTTTCCTTTTTTTTTTACATCCTGCAGTACTAACCATATATCTAGTATTCATAAGAGTCAAATGTATCTTTACTGAATCCTGCTGTGGAGCAAAACCTGTATCGCTCATCGCGTTTGCTATTGTATTTACGACATCGGATAGTCTGGAAATGAGCAATGTTAGTTAGAATCCATCGAGTCTGATAAAATGTTAGGAAAAAAAAATTAATTCAAATAAAAATTGAAATTCAGGAAAGGAAACGAACTTCTCTGAAGAGATTAGCGCGTATAACACATTAACACGAGTTGGATCATCGTTCATGATTTCTAATCCTTTGATTTCCACTTCCAGTGGTTTACCATTTAAGATTTCGCTTCAATATTTAGTCAGTGAAAAATAAATCGAAACATTAAACTGTGTTAAATTAGTCAATTTCACACTAGTCAGTGAGTGAATAAACCTACAACTGACTGATTGAATTGATTAATTAAATTATTTAAAGTACTAGTTTCATTTTTCGATGACATTATTTCTATGAGAGTCATCCTTCAGATAAAGGAACATCCATATATTACTTTCCACTTATACATATCATTGATTATCACAGACTTTATCTTGTTTCTCAGGAGCTAACTGTTCCCCAAAATATATTAGCTATTATCAAGGGTACAAAAACAATTGTAGTTGATGTATGGAAATGTTAAACGAGGACCAATGCTCATTAAATGGAAAACCAATGACACTGATAGAACAGAAACGAAGCAAAAGGCGATGAAATACCTTACGCGCGTATTAATTACTGTTTCGAGCGAACTCGATACTGATTTTTCTTCATCAGTGTCCAACAAAGATAGCATTGTTATTGTTAAATGTAATTTTCTTGATTCTTGAAAAACGGTTTCTTCTCTACATGAATCCTGTAAGAAAAAAAGCTCAAAAATGTACAAGGAAATGCATATAATACAAAATATATATGAATAAATTTCTCCAAATACTTGAGAGTCTCTTCTTGTCAAATAAGCTGCCGTTGGGAAGCAGTTCGAATGCATCGACAAATATATTTTAGTAAAATTTTCAAAATAGAGTGGTTTATCAACAGAAAATAAAACAAAAAAATCATGTCTGAAAATCGAGAGTATTTACCGATAATTCCTCATCATTTTTAATTGTATCCATAAATTTGAGGAAACTATCTTTAACAGTCTCATGCGTCATAGGAATTGAAACAAAATGCGTATAGGTGGCTCTATCACGTGCTCCATGAATTATAAGATGAATTCGATCACGACAACGCATTACACTTTCCTCGGATGTCATTGACATGATTTCTATAGAAACAATGATAAATTAAAACGAAATACCTATATAAAATTCCATACAAATATGGGAATAATTGTCTTGAATAACGTAGATATGCGAAGGTTAAGCAATGCACAGATCTGATCACTATTACTTACTTATTTGGATTAAAATTCGACCTGAAGCACGGAGAGAACACATAAAAAAAACTGAAATAAAAGACGACAATAAAGGAAGCTACATACCTACAGGACGCTTTTTCTTTTTCTTTGTCGGAAAATTTAACCGACAGCTCGTCTCTTCTTCAATTTTTCTTTTCATAGATCCCTTCGGTCCAATTACAAAACGCCGTAGAGGAACGGGAATTTTAATCCTTAAATAAATTAAATTTCTTAATCACCAATAACATGGAACTAGATAAAATAATATGAAACCACAAATAAAAATTAAATTCGAGCAGCAGAACACGAAATCAAAAATATACAGATCAAAAATCACCACAAAAAAATTTTTAGTAACACTAAAAAGACGATCTCTCAGTCTAAACTACCGCAGTCCTCACCATTCACAACTTGATATCTTTGCTACCTATGTTGCGTGAGCAACACAAACACATACGTTTTTGAAAATTAAGTTCTGATGACATTTTTCTGTTTCAAAAAACCAAAACAGTAACAGTATTAATAAAAATTACTTGGCTGTCCATTTCTTTGTTTTTTTATTGTAATTTACAACAAATTCTTCGTTCCGTTCTAACTGATCTTCATCTGTTTCATCAGCCACATCTGTTGTTAAGAGGTCACTCGATTCATCAGTCATTATCTGGTCTCATCAGAGCTGTTTAACGCATCCACTGCAATATTTCTTCATATCTGCTTCAATTCAAAAAAATATTGTTTAACGAATTCAAGCGGATCGAAATAGCTGGAATAAGAAACATACTATAAAATATTCGCAATTTTATCGTTCTAAAAATTAAGCATTTGTCTAAAACAAGTGGTATCGAATAATAATAGATAGCACATTAATCGCATAAGTTTTGCGGTCGGATCGGAATAGCCAATATTTACTTTGTAACATGTTCAACACCTAGACCTGTAAATTCCCCTAACTGAAGTGACCATCTTTGATGTTCACTTAGAATTTCAACAATGCATGTATTAGTTAAGAGGAAGAAAGTCAATTATTGTGTAACAAACCAGCTGAATCACACGAATCGTTTTCACCGTATAAATCAGCTGTATCACTGGTCCCAAAATTTACCTCATATTCATTTCTAAAAAAACGACGACAAGCTTAGTCATTCAGCAAACACACTGATTTCAGAGGATTATTTAAGTATAAAACATGATAATTTATTATAATGAAATATCGAATAATTTACTCAGAAAATTCGATCTGAACTAACGAACAAAAAAAAAAAAAGAAATCAATGAGTACACGAAAAAAGTAAGATAATTGGAACAAATGTGATAAGTAATAATTCCATTCTTCTTTGCCCCATAAAGTAAATAAAAATCCAAATATAAAATTCATGAAACAGTCAGAATAGGATGCTAGAACTATATCCTTCTACCGTTCGATCATTTTGCATTTTTGTGAAATATGACAGATATAAATGATACATAAGAACTTAGTATAGTTTTCCTGTGATTCACCACTTTCGGCAAATCTTTGAGTTTGATAAAATAAGCATCCAAGTACCCTGAACTCGATATAGCTTTCCTATACCTAACTTTTTAGATAACCTTGAAAAATTCATGTTTGCTACATAAATTCCATGCAAGCTAACTTTGGTCATTTAAAGCATATCGAAATACTGAACCACCCTATATTTTCTTAATCGTATAATTCCCGCATGCAACACTAATATCATTTCAGTACTGAATATGCAAATATTATATTAAAAAAGATGGTAAAAAATTATAAAATTACAGAAGTTGCAGAAATTATAGAAATAAATTATAGATATAATTATAGGGATAATAAATCGTAGAAATAGTTTCTTATAAATTATAGAAATGAAATTCCAAATTATAGGAATATAAAAATTAAAACTTGCAAATGCAATGGTAATACAAATATCTTGTCAACCTTTGTGCTCTTTGAATATTACGCCTATAAATGCGACCATCAATTTCATAGGTTGGAACGAACAACGGAAAGTTCATTGATAGAATAACCGGTAAATTATCTGCAAATTATGTTAAAAAGCAGATGTTTTTTGCAACATTTTAATTTTTCATTCCAATCAACTCAATTCAATTCAAATTCAGTTCAATTTAATTCAGATCAATTTGAGTTGATTTGTTTCATAATTCATGAGTTCTTTTTTCTATTCTATTACTACAGACCAATATATTTTAACACATGAACATCGTGTTGTACAGAAATCTTCTTCATGTTTTCTTTTTTTTTATTTGGATAATGAACTGAATAATTTTGAATTCTCATACAAAGAATACGCTAATTAATTTACCAAATTAACATTTAAGAGAAAAAAGGTAAGAGAAAGAATACTGTAATACCTTTTTGAAATGATCCAAGCAATAGCGTTTGGAAATGTCTGAGTAATTTTATCCCCGTTCCCGATAAACGCATCAATTCCGGAATAAACCTGACGTATGTTATTCACAATGCATCTATCCCTGCAAAAGCCTACACTTTCTAAGTTTGCGTTTCAGGAGAAATTCAACATCCGATTATTTATGATTGACGTATACAGAATTCCGGATTTTTATTTCGTTTCAACGTAAACTCGAATTTCGACTATTCATTCTTTACAGTATCAAACACCATCCATAATCAGGTACTGGCATCAAATACTACAGCAACCTGAAATGTTTAACTACAATATTAAACGCAGAAAAGCGGCCACAACTTGGGCCGTGTTTTATCGCCTGTACTTTCCTGAGACTCAGTTGTTTTTTTTCTGGTTCCGGTTCTCCAAGTGCTACGTTCAAAGGCTTTCCACAGATTCCCATATTATTTCGGTTTTTCATGGATTTTCGAAAAAATGAACTTTTCACCCGTAACGGTTGGTATGGTACTTAGTTTAAGCCTACTTAATTAAAATTCGTTAATTGAATTGAAACTCCGAATCCTAAAATTAATTGCGTTGAATTTTTAACTTAAAAATCTTTAATATACTATTTAAATGCATTTGTTACTGATTACCCGTGCGGTTTTCATACCATATGCACTACATTTGTTTACTTTTGTAAATTCATTAGTAGCCTTGGGAAAAGTAAGTAAAATGAAGCATGTAGGAAGAATAAACTAATTAAGTAAGATTTAGTTACACACTTATGCTTTCTTATTGACACCATGTTTTTTCTTGATACTTGACCCTAAAATTTATTACACTTCTAAAATATTTTCAGCATTTTTAGATAGAATATTGTTAATTAATGATTTCTTGATATGTCAGTATATTTAAATTATTATGTATAAATACGCTCATGTCGTCTTCTTTTTCGAATTCTACAGTTGAAACTTAGATCTTGCATTTTATGAATGCCTGACAACGTTACAACGACCGTATCAGTAACAACAACAGTAACAACAACAACAACAGCAACGACAACAGCAACAACAACAGCAACAACAACAGCAACAACAACAGCAACAACAG